TACCAAATATTTATCTGGCCCATTTCGGGAGTTGTATAAATTCTGAAACCTTAAACAAACATGAAAGAGGAACAAGAACTCGAAACTGTTCAACTTTTAGTTCATCAGCATTGAAATTGAACTGGTATTTTTTCTTTTTTCTTTATTTTCTTATTTTAGTTTAATTTTGTGTCTCGTATTTTATATGCAGGAGGGCATATATTGGCACAAGACAAATAATCACAGGCATCCCTCCCCAATTCCAACTTTGTCCTGTGTCTCTTCTGTGTAGTGTAAATAAAATGTTGCAAAATTTTGCCTCTCTCTTCGATTTTTTTTTTGTCTTTTTTTGGAAACTCGAGAGGTTGGGACATATATTGTGTATTGGACTCGAAGGCCCTTTCCGTGTGTTCTACGGTTCGTTGCACGTTGCCACTGATTGGACACATGTCGGACGGCAGTGAAAAATCTCTGGGCAGGTAATGTTAACTCCTGCCCCAAAAACTAAACCGTAAGGCGGACACGTGTGTGGGTGGTCACATAATGAGACATTTATTTAAAAAGAACATTTGAACATTCGAACATTCGAACATTTTTGATGGGCCATATCTTGGCTAGTCCAGCTCGAGGGCTAACATTTTCCCCAGGCTAGGTGTTTTTTTACTTCGAGTTTTTTGGGTGAGAGAAACGTGTCCTGGCTGTTTAAGCAGTATTAGGGATGTGAGCCATTAAATTAGTTAATATTGGTTGGTATTTTATTTTAAAAAGTATATTGCAGGGGTTTTTTAGGGAGTAAGGGGTGTATCTGTCAGAGGGAATTTTTAGGCTTTTGAATTTGGAATACAATATCAAAGAATATTTTTACATATTTATCTTAATGCTATGCTTGTATTAAAATTGGGACTATGCTTCCTAATGCTTTTCTTTGAAATTGTATATATTTTCCTTACTTAGTTTTAATGCTATATTTTATTAAAATTCAACTGAGCCCTTTAAACAATTGCTACTGTCACAGAAGAATCATAAAAATAATAATTTTAGAAGAGTGTGTATAATACATTCAATATTTTTTACATTTTTTATTTTCATATATTTTATGTTCATAAAAAACAGAAAGGTAACTAATTTCAGTAAGCCGAAGTTTATATACTCTTTTAGTTTTCTATTAAATTATAGAATTGTATTGGAAATTGATCAGAACTAAGCTTACAATTTTTGTATATTTTAAATCATTAAAATCATAGATATATTTATATGACAATTTTTTCATCAAAACAAACTTTAAAATACTTATAACTAAGTAAAAAATCATTAATCTGAATTCGGAACGCTGTCCTATGCTAGTTTTTAATAGTTTAAAAAGCCTGCATACTCTATTTAAAATTTAAAGAAATTAAAAATTTGGACAATTTTTGATCATTTTAATCCCTTATATTTTGTTGAAAAAATTGAAAAAAAAAATGGAAAAATTTGTTTCAACCGGATAAGGCTAAATCGATTCAGCTTTTGATGCTGGTCAAGAATATATACGATTTATAGGGTCGGAAATAATTCCTTCACATCGATACAAGGTTGTGAATAAAATTATAATAATCTGCGAGGTATAAAAATTATGTTTCAAGATTACCTCAGACTCCATATTTCTTTTTCTGACACCATATCCCAAATATATTTTCCCCACAACTTTCTACCCTTTTGAACCCTTTTAGTCATTGTGGCAAACACAAATTCATACAGCATCTTTCATGCAATTTTCTTTCCCTTTATTTCATCCATTTTCCGCTCTCCGTGGCAAACATAATTTTCAAAGAAATTAATATGAAATCAATCAAGTATAATTTTCATTTACGTTTTGCCCATTTGGGTTTCATCGATTTGCCGGATCATCGTATCCATCTCCCGTGGTGTTAATGAAAAAGTTCTGTGTTCAACAAAAGAGTTGAAAATTCCAATTTTTGTCATGCTCATCGAGGAGGGGAAGGGGTTGAGAAAAGAAAGTTTTCCCGGTAATTTGAGCAGGCAAACATTAACCCCTTATCGCCAAAAGCGAGCATTCATTAACTGACCCCAAGGCGTAATTAATCTCTTTCTCTCTCGGCGAGAGATTCTCTCCCGCCATTTCTCCAATGAAAGGAAAAAGGAAAGCCACCCCCTCGCGACGTGGCAGTTGCATGTTGTAAATTAGATTTCCGTCTGTCATGGCAACCCTCGTGTGGCGAGGGTTGCTGCAGCAGCTCGTTTGAATGCAAAACTGCCTTTTGGTCATTAACCTGTCTGAAGCACTTTGCAGCTAACTTCGACACGGACTCGGATTTGGATCTTTGGGTACAGTGAAATGCTTTCAGCATTCGAACTTTTGCCACCCCCCAGGAAAAGTACAGAGTTTCCACACTGTCACGATGCCAATGCCGATGCGACGCCATTTTTGGGCCGAAAAACTTCTTAATGAACTTTAACGCAGACTGCGAGGGAGGTTGTCCTTGGGTATTGGGGGTTAAATAGCTGCACAAAAGGGTTAAACAAGTGTTAAGGGATTGGGGGTAGTCGGGGGAGTTGGGTAGAGGTCATCAATCATATTTTCTGCATAGCTGAATCATTTACGCCGCTCAGTCTTGGGTTACTTAATGGGTTTAGCCATTGAAGGGGATCAGTTTAATTATGGAAAAACTGATGGTTTCCAGGGGGCAATTTCTTATAAATAAACCTTGAAGAAATTATAGATCAAAAAAGATTTCTAATATATAATTTATTTAAATTTTATTGGTACCAAAAGTAAAAGCATTCCTTTACTTAAAACTCTTTATATTTTGGCATCTTAAGTTCAGGTTATTCTGACAACAATTCATGGAAAAATTGTTAAAAATTATTTAGAAAGGACTACGTTATAAATTCTCTATGTATTAATAAGTACACTGTTATAAATATTAATAAAAAAAATAATTTTAATTTTTCTAAAGACCATACTTGACACTTTCTTTTTTTTATTTCTTAATACAATCACTCTCCTCCCTCTTCTCTCTCACAAAAAACACCAGATAAACATTAAAACAATGACCTACAAATCCCAAGATGGCAATTTCTGTTTTTCAAAAACTTATCTCAAACCCAAACTAAACATATATATATATATATATATATATGTGTATATATATAGAAATACAATATATATCCCTGGGCTCAGCGTGCAAATAAATCTTGAGGCTCTACGAGAGGCATTTGTAAATGCGAAATGCTTTCTTTTATGCGTTTTCAATGCCCAACAAAATCACATGGAAATAATGGAAAAGCAATTTCCATTTCCAACAGGGAGGGAGAGGGAGGGAGGGAGATTGCTTCGAGACAATTCCCCAGCAGCGATTTGACCATTAAAATTATACCCACAGGACGAGCTGGCATAAAAAGCGAAGGACATAGCCACTGTATCTCCTCCAACTTGAATATGAAATCGTTTGGAAATGCTCAACGAAAAGTGCACAGAAGACAGAAGAATACTACGAAGATGTTTGAAAAGAGTTCCTCTTATTTTTTCCTATTATTTTTTTCGGAACTGTGTGTCTCTCGTTAACTGCGGGGGAAGGAATACGGAATACTGGGGTAGGTAACTTCCTTACGTGTTGGCCGGTCATATTTTAGAAACTAATGTGACATTTCGATTATTCGATTGGATTTAATGTGTTTTATGAGTTTTACACGCTCCAAACGTTCTGCTAGTTCCCCCTTTTTACCGACTTCTTTTCCTACTTGCCTTTCCCATGGAGAAAGTGTGTGTTTGGAGAAAGTGGAGAAAGTGATGACAACTTTGGCAGGGGGAAGGCAGTCTAAGGAGAACAGGAGGGATACAAATGGTTAGGCCCTGTCACTGCCTTGATTCAGAGATAAATGTCGTGGGCGTGGAGGACATGTTGACCAATAAAAGTAGGTGGGGAAAATAGGAGAGTTTTTTCTTGGTTTTACTTTCATTTTTATTTTTTTCTTAATAGAATTTTGTTTATATATTTTATGTGTTTTTATTAGTCAATTATAGTTTTTAACGGAATCGTTAAGGAAGTTACCAGTGATTAGATAATACATTAATATTTTAAATTTTCTTCTAAACATCAAAGAAATTGCACCAAAATAACGCTTAAAAAATGCTTTATAAGGCAAGGTAATACCTCTCTAAGTATAGACATAAAATATGCATCAAAAACTGCTTCAGATCTTTGCTAAAATCTGTTAAAATGTTAAATGTTAAATATCATTTTAAGCCAGCGAGTCGAGCAAAAACCGCCTGAAAACCGCGTTAAAACCCGACATAAAACCGCGTTTAAAGACGCGTCGCCCAAAAAACGCTAAAGTCCATGTTAAAACCGCGCCAAGAACCGCCTGGAAACAGCGCCAAAGGTTTTTTAAAAACCTCTTCAAGATGTCTAGATTTTAGCTCAAAATTTAAGAAATCAAGTTAAGATTTTAGAGGGTTGTATTAAGGTTCCCAAAATATTTTTAAAATTATATAAATATAGCTCACAGTTCAAACAAAAACCGCCCCTAAACCGCTTAAAAATCTGACCCAAAAACGTGAAGTGTTCAGACCAAATTTCAAAATTTAATTAAGTTGTCTAGTTTTGATCAAACATTCCATTATATATTGAAATAAACATTAATTATAATATATATAATATAAATTTAAAACAAAAAGTAAACCATAAAATCTAGATTAACCAAAATTCACTTAAAATTCTCCCTATCATCAATACGATCTCAAGGAAAAGTACCCCCCAATGGAAGAAATGTGGCAATTTTCCTGGACTTTCCCCTCCCTCTGCGCCCCCTGTAACCCCTCATACACCAACGGTAAAACTTTAACTCATTTGTATGCCAAACAGCAACAGAACTAAAAGTTTTTTCATGTGCCTCCCCCACTTGGATTTATTTATTTTACTTTTTTTTCTCTCCTCACATCTTTTTGCTCAACTCTGCACTTATTACTTATTACTGGACACACTCACACACTCACATGTGGGAGAGGGCGAGGAAAAACCCTAGACATGCGAGACATGGAAATTCATCATCAAAAATGAATAATGTCTACACTTAATGCGGCCAAGGATGTAGCCGGCGCAGGGATCTCGAGGAAACTCGAACTCCCTCGTACACGGACATTGCGGATAAGTCGCATCGCACCCTGCTGAATCGCAATTCGCACCCCATCAAATGGAGGGGCGTGAAGCCAAAGGAAGTTCCTTCTGAGATGGGTCCTGCCAGTGCTGTCAGGATTTATCCTGAATTTGGGGTAAAAAGGATAATATTAAAAGAGAAAAAATGAAGAAATTACAAGCATGATATTGTTTTCTTGAAGTAATATTTATTTATTCAGAGTTTATACAATTATATACATTTGAAAGTTTTTAAGTTAAGTTAAAAATAGCTATATTCTTAGCTAAATCCTGTAAAAGATACAAATTCCTCTGACTAAGAACACAAATAAGCAACATCACTAGTTTCTGGATTAGGTCTTTTGGGGGAAACGGTTGCTTGAATATTAATTGTGAATATGTAGAAGACACATACAGCCCCTCAAAAAAGGGAAACAAATGTGCAGACTTACGAATGCAGGCGACGTGCATGGGTCCTGGGCCAGGATTGATGCAGTGTCCTCTGTCCTGTCCTTGTCCTGTCCCCGTCCTGTTCCCCCTGGCCAGACCAAAGGATAGTGTCGGACGAGGGCTGAGATCTCTCTGAGTCAGAATCTAATAGATTTCTGGCAAGTGTCGAGATAAAAACATAATACAAAAGGCATGGAGCTGTCAAAGGGAAATTACTTATACGATTTTGGGAAAGGGAGGAATCGGAATCGGACCAGTAGCAACAATGATTTGATGAGTAAGATATCTGAACATATAAGCACACATACAATTGGTTTGCAAATACTTGGGGATTACTGAAATTGGGGTTTTAATTAATTTTATTTGTTGTTTATAAATAAGACAGTATTTAAAAAAGAGTTTAGTAAATATATAAAGGATTGTCGATGTCTTAACCTTCTTCTTCTAATTTCTATATCTATATAACTCCACTTAGACAGGAGCAATTCCTGAAGAAAATTAGTCTAACAGGACCATCACCAAGACCATCCATTAAAGAGCATCCCCACTTAGAAATCATTCAACAATTGCGGCACTTATGAGTATTTGCACGCCCTCGAGACTTGTCAGGCCATTCTATCAAAATCAGATGATAGATATTTGTATCAGAATGAAGTAAGCAGTCGGACAACCCTTATGCAGGATACCAGGAATCTATCAAATCCACCCAAAGAAGCCGCAAAAAAATACCAAGTTATAATTTCCCGACTAGACTTATCCTCTTAGTGATCTGCCAGGGGATACAAAAAAAGCAGCAGGAGAGCAACGAAACACTTAATGAGCTTTGAAATTGTTTTTCCTTCACGTACGCCTAATTTAGTTCTGAAAAAAAATAACGAAATCGAAATGAAAACGTTGCAGAATCGAATTGAAATCGAAAAAGAGTGTAGAGGGGACAACAAATCAGGGAAAGTTGTTCTAATGCCGGACCATAAATTATGGGCAATTAATATGTAACACGTTAGATTCGAATTCGATTCGAAACGGCCTCTAAATGGCGACTCCTTTGGCCATTTGTCAGCAAGGATGTGGCCATAAAAAATGGCTACCGCTGCACCCCCAAATACTTGGCCTAGAATGTCCTCGTACTCCTTCACTTTCGCCATCGCTTCAGATAAATCACCATTAAAAAAAGAAACGCGTTTCGGAGTGGACAGTCCACAGCACACATAAAATAAAATTAACTTTAAAAGCAAATTCTCACTGGGACATATTTTATGTGACAATGTCCAATTCGGCTTTTGTTGGCTCATAACTCAATGGGCTAATCCTTTAAATAGGACATTCATGTTATCCCGCCTAGACGTTCACTGAGTTGTGACCATTAAAATGGAATTTATATCTACAAAAAACAAACAGAGTAAAGGAAACTCTTTTCGCCTGCGTCTCCGTCTCATATTGATATTTATGACATTTGCAATGCATTATCGTTCTTATTATTGGATTGTTATTATTGTTATATATGATTGTTATTATCTTATGGCTTAGTTGCGGGTGATAGGATCATCATTATTTTACTATGTATTTAGGATGTTGTGGGCTTTTAAATATATTTATTTAAATATAAATTTTAACTTTCCTAAACACGCTCCAAAGATTTTTAAAATAATAAATAAACAAATAAGGAAAATAACTTCCGGGAGCCAAAGCTTGCTTACTCTTGCAGTTTGCAATTAACTTATCGATCATAACTAAGCTTAAAAAATTCGCATTTGATTCGAAATTTTTATTTATTTTGATGTGACAATTTTTGGCACAAATTAAAATTTAAAAACTTCATAACTAAAATCCCAATCGGAAAGCTTTCCTATGCCAGTTTTTATTAGGTTAACAAATCTTCGTACTCAACTTAAAATGTTAAAAAATTACAATTTTTATCAATTTCTTTTTTTTTAATTTTAACATCTTAAAAAATGTTGAAAAATGTTGTAATTTTTTTTCTGCCTGAGATGGGTAGATCGATTCGGCTGTTGATGCTGATCAAGAATCTATATGATTTATGGGGTCGGAAATGATTGCTTCACAGCTTTACAAGCTTCTGACTGAAATTAAAATACCCTGCAAGAGTTCTTACGAAATTGGTAAAAATATGACCTAAAATTTGAAATTTGAACTAAAAATTATGTCTAAATTACTTTAGATTCCCATTTATTTGTTTAATAAAATAAAAATGAATTAACTAGACATTATATGAATGATATATATGATTAAAGAGGTTTTCAAAAAAGATTTTAAATCAATTAATATTTTGTCTGAAAGTCCAGGTTCCAATTTCTCTTTTGAAATGTAAACAGAAATCTTTCTTAGCATGTTTTTATAAGTCATTACAATTAGTTTTAAATCTATATAGAATTTATTTTTATATCACAAATGTATGTATTATTATTAACATATTTATACCTTTTCAATGTATAATAATAGTCCCTTGCCAAATGGTAAAATAATATTATTTGTTATATTTATTTATGCCATTTTTTGTGCCCAAAATTCCTTCCCTTTGGCCATATTTTTCCCCATATACCAATGCCAATTCAATTTACAGTTCATTACTTTTCATAATTTCTGCCTTGTACGCTCAAGGACTCCAGGATCGCAGGACTCGTGTATTATGTAGGTGGACCTCACACACCGCCTGGAAGGGGAGGCAGCTGTTCAAAAATCCCACGCAGCAAAAATACAAGTCCTGAGGGTTGATTGGAAAGTTTTCGTTGGCCAAGCCCAAAATCTAATTGGACGCATTCGTTTCGGCTCAAACATTTGACATCTTTGCCCTCTACAAAAAAAACATTCATTCTATTTAAATTGTTGAAATCCGCTTACGCGGTGCTTAAAGGACCTTCGCCATTTTCTCGACACGTTTTGTATTCAAGTCTCAAGTTTCCCATTTTTTCCCATTTTCCATTTGAAAATCAAATTGATCGGTTTAAGTTGTATACTAAGCTACTTAGCAGTCCTTAAGTTTCTATAAATGTAAGATGAGCCTGTGTCCTTTAAGGTTCTCGTTCGTTTCGTCTTTGTTGCTCCGCTCTTATCACAATTTATGTGTATTCTGTACGCTCCATTTCCCAGTCCAATTTTTGGGAGGAAAGGAAATCGGATGGGGGGGGGAAATCGATAATATGCAAATATATTTTTTGCATCCCCCGCAATCACACACACATGGAGCGTAAAACAAACATGAACGCGGCGAGTCCTAAGTCCTGTCCTGTGGCACCGCCACCCCTCTTCGCACACACACTCAGACACACACACACACACACACACACACCAACTAAATAACTAAATACGCATTAGCATCCTGTCGGATTTTCCTTTATTATTGCGGCGGCCGTCGTCGAAACGAAAAGGAACGAGATGAGGCCAGAGGATGCGTGGGAGGAGACGCGCCGCGACGCGACGCATGTTGCACGCGCTCCTCTCGCACAGTGGGGCAAAAAAATTAAAAACTGCCTTTAGAAAACCATAGGCTTTTATGAAATCAGATTGATTAAATCTACAACACAATCACTATATGGTTACAGCATTACTAATCTGCTAACAATTAAACTACTAGTGTTTTTCGTAACGGTTTGAGAATTTGTTTAGTATTAAATTTATATTTTTTTGTAATTACTTTTCCCTACTGTAAAACGAAACTGTCAGGTCCTTAAAACCAACTTTTCCTTAAAAACAACTCGATCAGACAGTGATACCTGCTTAGTAGTTAGAGTCTTTTTCTTATGAAAGTTCAGCGACGCTAGAAAGTATGCAAGGCTTTTTTTGCAATAAGAAATCCATTGAAATTTTATTTAAAGTCCTTTAGAAATATCAATCATTTTTTTAGAATTGAAAAATCCGTTTAACTTATATTCTGTAAACCATAAAAAATGACATGTACATATATGTCGGACGGTTTAAAAGACACCAAACCTATTTCTATGCGAAAGATACATAATTAGGTAATCTTTGAATTGAATTGAATTTTACAACTAATCTTTGGATTTGTTGAAATGTTATTAAATAAAAAGTATTTACTGCTTTTAAGAGTATTTTACATATATTTCCCAAACATTTTATCAGTTAACTTCCAAACTAGTGATTAATTTAAAATTTTTCTTAGCAGCGATGTCCTTTAGTGTTCAATCCATTTTCCTTAGTAACCTTTTGTCATATTTTCACCGCTTTTTTCCGACTTTTTCCCCACTGTTTGGCATCCCAAAAACCCTGCAAAAAAAAAGAATGCCAACAGTCCGAATGGCAACAAATTCAAACGAACGTGTATGCAGAGTGTGACTGAAAGCATTATTAATAGAGAATGTCGGCAGCTAAACTCACACAAGCACACACACAAATACGCACACACTTGCACAGCACACACACACACACACACGCAAAAGGGATATAAAAGCAATAAGAACATTCATCTTCATAATTACGGGAGACGAAAGGAGGAGAAAGTCCCCCCAAAAAAAGAGAAGATGTGGAATATGTAAGTGAGGAAATTCAAATGAAACGGCAAAGTTTTGCATATGCGGTGGAGTATGTGTATGTGTGTGTGTGTAGTTGTGCATGTGTGGGGGACAGACAGCCTCCCTTTCTTCTTTTTCCTTCTTTCTTCAGCTTTAAATACACTATTCAAAATAAATACAAGACAAGAATATTAGTTTATTTTATTTTATTTTGTAGAAAATTTATATTCATTCTAATATTAACATTTTTATAAATTTAAGATACTAACTTAAAATTTATGAAGATATTCCTGCCTCAACCGGAAGTTCTTTAAATTTCCCTCAGTGTGACCAGCTTCGCCGAAATGGGCATCTTATGGAAATGACAGTTAAGCTCGTCGACGCTGGTCACCCTAATGAATGTTCAAGAAAGCCCGTTGCCCTTCGTTCGGAATGCAATCAAATGGAAATTGTTAAAGAAAAGCAAAAATGCCCGAAAGGAGGAATGGCAAAAGAACATAAGCACGCTTGACTGGATTCCAGGACTTGGCATTTAACGAGGGTGCAATGCATCGGTCTGCACTAATTACGCACAAAACATGTCCGGCGAAACCGTGGCCAGCAAAACGTACAAAATGAAAAGGGGAGATTTTTTTTGCTTTAAGGAGTCTGAAGGTCCTGTTCCTAAGGCGTCGTCTCAGTTTGTCCGTTGTTTTTCCTGTCCGTTCGCTGCAATTTGAATGAGGACGATGTCGAGGGTGTCGCCTGCACTTGGTATCGCTGGCGGGTGGCTGGAAAGGTGGCATGGGCGGGGCCAAAACGAATTAATTCTAATCCCGAACACGTTCCGGCGCAGACGGAGTGGTCAGTTGTGTGTATATATATCCATACATACGGGGTCTCAACTGTCGAAGGGTGCGTCGATCATTAGCGTGATTTCTTTTCGCCTTGACATCGATGGGACGTCGCAGGGAAATCTATATGACTGAATGCCTCACTGAACAGGGAACGGGAGTTGCGTCTTATTTTCATACCCTTGCAGGATATTACAATCTTAGTCAAAAGGGTGCAATACAGTGAAGGACTCATTTCCGACACTATAAATATTCTTGATCAGCATCAACAGCCGAATCGATTTAGTTATGGCAAAAAAATCAAATTTTTCGAATTGTTTTTTTCAAAATATTATACGTGGTTATAACAATTATAATTGTCAAAATTTGCCAACAAAATCATTTCTTTATTATTTTAAAACCTTATATGCAAATTTGTTAACCTTAAAAAAACTAGCTCAGAAAACCCTCCTAATTGAAAATTAAGGCATTTTTGATTTAGTTATGACCGATTTTCTCTGCAGGAGTATATAAATTTCGGCCACCCGAAGTTAGTTTCCTTTTTTTTGTTTTTAATATTTAGTAGCAAAAATTAGAGGTGTTTAGTTTTGATTAAGGACCTTTTATTTTCAAATTACGCTAACCTAATTTGACTTATTACATTTCTTTTCAAGCTTGCAGTTATTTTAGTTTTTAAATTAAAATATTATCAAACTTGAGAAGTATTGTGATAAGCATTCCCTGACGGCCTTATTTTAACAATTACATTACCTTTTTAATACCAATTACACCTCTTATTTTCTCTTTAATTTTTCTCTGAATTTATAAAAAATAATTAAATTAAAA